GAGGGGGAGCTGACTTATCATTGGAACTGTTTCAGTAACTGTGATATGTCTGACCAGGTTTGCATCAATGAAATGTGCTGTGAAGGACAAAGTACTATGAATTAAAAAAAATTTTTTTTTACTTGCAGCTGGTATGTCAGAGCACTGTTTCTACTCTTTATGGCTGCAATTTGATTGGTTAGTGGCACTTGTAAAAAGCCACATAAATTATGTTAGTGCAATTCATTCTATGTTTGGTCTGAAGTTTCTAAATAGCTTGGCCTAGTGAGATGATGATGGTGATGCCATTTTTCATACTAGAACATTGCAAAAATCTAGAATTATAGCTAAATGTATCATTTTCCCTGTACAATTATTGTCTGCAGGAAAACCTTAGAATTATATTAGTATTGGATGAACTCTTGAGTAGTTCCTAATTACACTGGATCTCAAAGATCTCTGCTAAATCAGATAAAAAAATCTAAATCAGCAACCTGTTTCTCAGGCACTGATGAAAATCTATAACAAGAACATGGAAGTGATAGCCATCCAACGATCTTTTTTCTGCATATACTTTTGAAGTGAAAGGAAACTCTGGGCCATTTTATAAGCAAATTATGCTTGCACAATGTTTCACAGCAATACATTTCATAATTTATATGCAGCACATGAATTAGTGGGTACTTTTTCTGCTTAGGACAACAATAATAACAAGTAGTAATAGTAATGGTAGTAAAAGAATAAACATGGCCTCCTTGTGCCATCAAAGTTCTTGAGCTCCATTTTGTATGGCTTTAATTCTATAAGCTGTTGTGGAAAGATAATAGTCCTGATAATTAGCTAAGATGCAGGTCAAGGAATGCTAAAAGAGTAACTATTAATGTGCAATAGGCAAAAATAAAAAGTTTATAGCACCTTAAAGGACTAACAAAGTTTTTGTGATATACATCTTTAAAAGATGAATTTGTGGTAAGAGAAAAGCAGAGGAAAGATGGGATGAGAGGTACATATGGCCAGTGGTGGGATTCAAATATGTGAACAACCGGTTCTCTGTGTGGATGCTGTTTCCGGAAGTCCATTCTGGGCCTGGGCAATAAAAAATTAACTACTGGTTCTGCCGAAGTGGTGCGAACCGGCTGAATCCAACCACTGCATATGGCTTTTTACAGACAATCACTAAGATCTTCTTAACTAAATTAACTGTTCAAATTGTAAACCTACAGAGCCAGATCAACATGGACACCATGCATTGCATTTACTCATAAACTATGACACTCCCAACATCCTTGCCAGCATTCTTGGGCAAAAACTGGAGACCACTTTTAAAAGTAATGTTCACCAGTGTTCAACAACATTTTTGATGCCTATCAGGGCTTCTGCTCCACAGCACTGTGTATTAAAAATATTGACCAGCATTTATTTTATACCCTAAATACTACAGAAAGCTTGGAGCAACACAATTTGAGAAAATCAAGGAGAGAGTAAGTACATTTATTCTGGAAAAGAGGAGAAAGCTGGTAGGCATGATAGTTATTGAAAGGACTGTTTTGTAGAAGAGAGAACAAAGTACCGGTAGTTCACATTTGTTTCAGAAGTCTGGACAAGAAAGAATGGGATTAAATTACAAGGAATCAGATTTCAGTTGGAAACAGAGAACATCTCATAATTGTAGGAATCCAGGAGATGATACATTGATTCTGGTTTACTGAAAGTGTTTAAAAAGAGTTTACATGGTCTTTTGTACAGAAAGATGTAATAATAGATCCTACAGGAGTTGGACTAGATGTTCTCCAAGATCCCTTCCAACTTCAACTACCACCACAGGCTGTCCAGAGACAGTATTTTATCAAGTGTTCCCTTAATCCTTAGTCAAGTTGCCAAAATGAAAATTTAATATCCTATAAATAGGCATAACATTACTAAAAAATGACTTTTGTTTTTATACACAAAGGTTTATAAATTGAGCCCAACATTTCCATTAATAAGCAAGGATTTTAAAAGAATTTTGCCCATTTTACGACCTTTTTTGCCAAGTTGTTAAGTGAATTCCTGCAGTTGTTAAGTTAGTAACATGGTTGTTAAGTGAATCTGGCTTCCCCATTGACTTTGCAAAAGGTGATCATATGACCCTGGACATTGCAACCATCATAAATATGAGCTAATTGCTGAGTGTCTGAATTTTGTTCATGTGACCATGGTTATAAATGTGAAAAATGGCCATAAGTCAGATTTTTTCAATGACATAACTTCAAACGGTCACTAAATAAGTGGTTGTAAGTTGAGGACTACCCATACATGCTAAATGCAGTGAGATTATTATAGGCAGAAAAAGGGAAAGATTCAACATTAGCCACAATGAGAGGAATGGATGGGGATGAGCAAATTGACATCTTTGATAAGAGAAAAGACATTAGCTATGTTTAATGCTAATTAGAAATCCCTCACAGACTTTTGTGTGAGATAGAAAAAAAATGAACTTATGATTTATGGTTTTGTTGATTAGAAAAAAAAATAGATTATAGAAAAATTAAAGTCATTCTGTAAACATTATTTTTAATTTATACCTATAACAACTATAAAATAAATTTGGAAGTAACCTTTATATTTCCTTTTCTTTAAATATTAGTTTATTTTAATTTTTATCATTCTTGTTTAAAATCTTTATAAAGTTATTTTTAAAAAACCGAGCAAGACATTTTTCCCAATTATATATATATATATATATAAAAAATCCCTAGTGGAAATAACTGAATATATTATTGCATACAGACACACTTGAAACAGGAATAAAATTAGAACTTAGTTCCTAGGGACATAATTTTGAAACAATTGTTTTTAAAGTGAGAGTCCTTCTCATGACTGTGTTGTTAAAAATAATAATAATAATACTATTAATAATAAAAGCAAATACTTTCCCACAGTCAATACAAAGTACTCTACTTTGGCATGGCTAAGAAGCAGCCTGCCTATGGCAACAGTCCTACTTTAATTTGTATGCATACACTTTACTTGTGTTTAGATACTAAAGGAGGGAAGATATGAGTCACAATTTTGTGTGCATATAAGAGCACATACATACTCAGACTCACAAATGAAAACACACTGAAAAGTATTGGGCAGCACAGTTAATTGTGAAACTAAAGTATCAAATACCTTATTAATAAAAACAGAAGACCAGTAGGTTATACCTGGCTTGCTACTAGCTAGCAGAGATAGCTGGTCTAGTGTACTATAGTTCACATTTTTAAAGACCTATGAATATTGGAAAAAAGGGATTGTCCTTAAGCTCAAGGTAATTAAATTGTGAGGCAAGGATTCAGGTTACCTTATATGCACAGGTTAAATTAAATGCAGAAAGCTAATGAAACAGATGGAATCTCCTCAGTTTGATCAGAAGACATCTAGATACTACTACATTTCTCATCATAACCTTTAACTGGGTGAAATGGTGCATCATAGGGCAACAATTTTTGAACCAAAGTACATAAAATGGGCTATTTTACAGAATGTGTCCAAATGTAGGACCCCTATCTCCTGTGGAATTGAAATTTGGCCAATTATGTAAAACATTTTATGACATAAAATTATCATAAAACAGTTTATTACATAATGCAAAATGCCATAAAATGTTTCCTGTGCTAAACAGTTCAACATGGGCTATTTTCAAGGCAGAAACATCTTTGAATGCATCCCAACTTTTCCAGTGAAGCCAATACATTAGAAGTTCTGTCACTGTACAACCTATGACAACTGGAATCGAGACCACACAGAGCCAAATCCTAAGAAACTACATACATACATACATAGTGTACTTACATACATATATAAATACATTTCTTTTTTTTATTTTAATTAATTGTGGTTTTCTGTATTCTACTTGCTGTCTATGACTGAATAAAGGTTTGTTTGTTTGCTTGTTTGATTGATTGTCATGTGATGTGTGAAACATGCCTTTGATCAAGTTCATGTTAGTGTGAATTGCCTTGTGTATCCATGGTATCTTTTAGGATTTTAAAGCAGTAATTACCCAAGACTATGTGGTATAGCCCTCTCCTTAGCCTCTAATAAATGTTCCCAAGGAGGACAGACTCATGATGAAGCAGAGCAAAGGCTGTCTAGCTCAGAATAGTGAATAGTTGATAAGAGATAGAAAGTAAAATAAGAGCTGAAGGAAGATTTGAATTCCCAAAACATAAGGGCTGATACAGTACTTACAATATCTGCCATTGCTTTCCATGTTGCAGTATGAGAAATAAAGGCTAACTGTATTTTTTAAAATTAAACCCAAAATGTAACATGCAAAGAATAAAATTACTAATCTAAGTCTTTTTTTTAATCTGTTCATTCTTTGAATACTTTTGAATAGATTTGTGCTCATGCCAAATTTGCTAATTCATCTGAATTCACACTTTTAAGGCTCCCTGCATTTGACACAGATGAGAGACCTAGCATTCAAATAATGTGTAGAAAATTAAAATGTTTTCCATCTAAGTGACTATAGCGAATAAAGTTCGATAATAGTATGGCTAATTAATAAATTAATCCATGTGTAAAGCTCTAAAGTTGATGCATTTTTATAGGTATATATATTTTAATATAGTGGAGAAAGAAGAACACAAACTTTCTACTAACAGTGTTGTTCTTAATCAGTATCATATATCTCTTTCTTAGCTTCTTGCTGGCTAGTATTTAAGCATATTTTCCTCATCATGACTGTATCTCCTTTGCTGCCTGACCTACATAAACCTGGAAAGCTAACTCTAGATTCTAGAAAGTTGGTTCTTAGAATTTCTAAATATAACAGTCATGAGTAGAAATGATTACTTTCTCATAAACAGTGATTCTCAGAGGATCACTTTTTATGCACAAAAACATAAAAAGATACAATTTTTTTCCATGTAGTTTGCATTTATTAAACAAATGCAAGAAATCAATCTAAGTACTTTTGATCACTCCCTTCCCTAGAAAAGTTACTTTGTAATGATAAAAACAAAAAGTGTAAAATGTAAAATCTTTCTTACCAACAATCATATGGTTGCAGACATCACAGAAAGTGGGTTTTTTGAAGATGTGTTCCTGAAAAATGTGAGTCTTGTCTTCTGGCTGGAGATGGGTATTGGTTGGAGTAGAGTTTTGACTTTCCAAATTAGGGAGCTGCCCTGATCTAGAGGTGATTTCTGATAGCAAATCTACTTGCAGCTTCGTGCCACAGTTTGTTTGTTGAAAAAAGTTGTCTGCACTTTTACTCCTCAAACTTTTGGTCTTGAAAGAAAGTGATCGTTTCAATTTCTGGAGCTGAAAAAAAAATCAACAATAGCATTTTTCTCCCCCAAAGGCAGATTTCAGAACACATGGCATATAACCATGATATGCAATTCCCATTGATATTTAGTGTTCAGGCAATTTCAAATAACTAGAATTCTAAGACAGACAAGACACCTTCAATAGTAATCACAAACCTGCAATAGAGCCAATCTTACTTATTTATTTATTTTTTTAAATATGAGCTTTCAGATGCCATAAGATGAAAGCTGGGTAAAAGAAGTTAACATCAATCAGAGAATTTTATATACTTTCAGAACCAATTCTAACCAATATGCTATTTATACAATTATATATCAGCATCTCATTTATCTTAGTCTACATATTTGCCTTGTCAAGTGGCACTAAGACATAGGCAAATCTGCCTGGCTTCCAGTTCTGCGTGGCCTTGGCTAGTTAACCTCATTCGTTTCCACATAATTAATATGGAAAAAAGTTCTGCCAGCTTGTTCATGGTAATGGTGGGATAGCAGCAAAAGCTCTGCTGTAGTCCTAGTTGTGCTGAAACTCTGAGGGCACCAGGCTTCTCCCAGACTTGTTTACCCTTGCATGGGCTTGCTGCCAGTTCAAATACTTGGCCTCAAAATAGATGGGAGGGGGAGGGATACTGTGGGAAATGGGCCACAGAAGTAATAGAGCATTGTGCCTAGCAATGGGGAAGAGGGCACAAGAGGAAATGTGTTCTAATTTGCTCTGGGGCAAAAAAGGAAGCCAGTAATACTGTTGGCAATGTTAGAGGGCATCAAACTTACCTAGTTTAGACCTCTCACAGAGAAGTAGGCATTTGAGGCATCCCTGTTTCAAACCCTTCAAATCCTTTTCTTCAGTCAAATCTGCAATAGTCACCTGCGTATTTGCCACACTGAACTCAAGCACACTCAATTAGTACCCAGACTTCAGGGGCTCATGAGCTATACTTAGCCTTTGGATAGTGTGCTGGGAACTGCATTTAAATTAAAGTAATTAAATATAGTTGCTGCATTTACTTCCCATATAGCATCCACCTTCTATTTCTTTAAATATTACAGTTGTTGGCAATTTTTGGAAGGGATTTGAAGAACCAAAGCACAGTTCCTGAAGGATACATGCAGGCTTCAAGATTCAGATTTGCACCCATAAACAAGAGGCTATAATGAAATGTCTATAAGATTTCCTCCCTGCTAACTCAGTGCCACTAAACTCTTCTATTCCCCCTGTTCCAAATTATTGTTATTATATGCAAGTAAGTTTTCCACAAATAAGTTATTTTTAATGTGAATGAAGCATTACTATACCTTCGGAGCTTCTCTGGTGTCCCATTATGTTTTCCAAGAATATGCAGATTTTGTCAGGCAGCTAACATCTATTGTTTATGCTGATTTACAAAATATTTATAGAATATGAGATAACAATTGGTACTGATCATAGCCTTGAATGTAAAAGAATGAGAATCTATTCCTTGAAGGAACATCTGATTTTAGCATAGTTTTTTTTGAACCTTTGCTTAGTCCCCCCCCCCCAATTTGATTTGTAATATATATATCTGCATGTGCTTGTCTGCTCCTTTCTATTATTAATTTATTTAATGCTGTAGAATTGAGTTTCTATGCTCATTTTGTAGAGTGCCGGGTTCAAACTTACAGCAATGTTTGACTTACTGTAACTGATTAGATTCTTTTGTATTTTCAGATAAGTAGTATCATACTAAAAGAATTGCAGAAACAAGGATGTATATTGAAAGTCCTGATTAATTTGAAAATCTTACAATCTTATAATACAAATTCAGAACATTTGCTGGGCCTTCTCTATAAACTACTAGTGAACTATTTGAACAAGTCAAAGATTGCACAATTACACGGATGCAGAATCTGAATGAAATACCGTAATAGAACTACCACAATGGGAATTTCCAATGGAAGAAAATTACAGTTTCTCTAAACATTGTATTTAGAGAAAATTGGTATGTTTTACCCGCATTAGACTACATTGCTCTAGTTCTGATTGCTAAAATGAACAATTCATTTTCTGAAAATGGCTGGAAATGTAATGAGCAGGTCCAATCTTTTCTTTATATTTGGTGATAATTTTGTAAGGCTTATAATTCTGGAAAATGATCTCTACTAAAATATCTAAGTTGTGTGACTGTACTTTGGTATCTAATATAACTTGAAAGCAAATCTGACAAAAAATTCAATTCAATTAGAAACAGTTTCTAGAGTATTACATAAGCAAATAACACATCAAAAATTTGTGTTTATTTATGTATGAATTATATGTTTTTATCTCACAGTATTAAAAACAAAACAGATTTTACTGAGATGGCTTGAACTGATTATAGCCTATAACTGTACCCAGCGATTTATACAGGTTTACCACAGTTCTCAACATTTAGTCTTAGTTTAGATTTTAATAGTGTTTTTAGTTGGCTAAAGTGATATAATATAATAAATTACTTATAAATAATTACATTATATTGGAAAATTATAACCTCTATTATATTTCCAAATCCCTTGCTTGTTCATTTATATTATAATTTCATCACTCCTGTCTTCTAGCTGCTTGTTTATATATTATTTTTTTTCTTTAATGTTCAATAAAAATACAAAAAGTCTTTGTTTGATATGCAAGCTTCTCCAACATATTTTGTTTTTAATACTGTTATTCCTAATATACACTCTTGTTTCTGTACACATCTTTCTTAAAAGGTTTGTATCACGAAAACTGACACTACAAACTCCAGTTTTTATTGCCAGTTTTTTTTCTTAAAAAGACTTGTAGTTCATTAAGAAAATGGATTTCCCAAAACCATCACACTTGTCTTAGCACATAAACTTTCAAAAGAATTCTTAAGGTCTCTTGTAAAAACAAAAGAAACTGGAAAGGATATTATTTTTAGAAGTGGGAAGGAAATATACTATTGATACTTTGATTTATAAGTTAACATTTAATTTGGGGATTGTAGCTTACATTTAAAAAAATCAGGGACACATCTGTCAGTGCTGTTGCCACATCATCTTCGTAAAATGAAGCTGAAAATGAAAATTTGAATTCAGCAGGCAAGGAAAGCAGTGGTGAATAGAAAATAAAGCCAGTAACAGAAAGCTTGTTGGTGGATAGAAAACTGGGATTTGTTTTTCAATTTTCAGGAGATGAAGAAGAGCATAAATGTGCAGTTGTGCCAATGGAAGAAGAAGAAGATGATGATCCTGAGAATACATATGATTCTATCCATAAGGACTTTAAAAAGTTTATAACACACCCTTGGCATGGGCACAAGCCAGATCAATGGAACAGAAAGGGCTGCCTTGTAGAGACTTGCTCACAGGCTTCCCACCAGCTTGAATGAGGGGGCTCGGTTGAAGTCCAGAATGTTATCAACTTCCTTGTGAGGTTGAAGGACTGGATGTTGTTGGAACAAGTGAGTCCAGCCAACCCTGTTGTACCACTCGAAACAGGGAAAAAGACTGAGGGTGAGATTTCAACAGATTAATTCTACATATAGCTGGCTCCAGAGTGGCAGGAGGAGGCTAGAAACTGACTTTGGAGGCAGCTTTGAACCTGTTTTCAAAAGATGAATTTGATGTGGGGTGTGCTAGGAGGGTTCAACATCAAATCCATCTACAGAAGATAAGCCTTTCTGAGAGAGGTCTTGGCAGGTCCCTTAAGTTCAGCTCAGAGAGCATTAGCAGAGTTGAAGAGGACTAGGATCATCCAAGAATCTCGGAGCTCCTACGCCTCTCCCCTAGTAATCTGGAAAAATGGGCCCTGAGGATGTGCATAGATTACTGTACCCTCAATTGGAGGACCATTTTGGATCAGTATATTACCCCCTGATTGAAGATGCCTTACATTGCTTATCGGGAGCAAAGTTACTTAGTGTGCTGGATCTGAGAAGTGGCTACCATCAGATTCCCACACATCCAGATGATGGAGAGAATACTGCTTTTATCTGCTCTCTTGGGATTCTATGAATTCAATTGGATGCCTCAAGGGTTGTCAGAGGCCCTGGCAACCTTTCAGTGACTTATGGAGCAGACGGTGTGAGACATGAATTTGATAGATGTGTTAGTGTACCCAGATGATATCATTGCTTTTGATGAGACTCTTGAAAAACATGAGGAGTGTCTGGAGATGATTCTGACCAGGGTCCATGAAGAAGGGTTGAAGCTGTCCCTAGAGAAATGCCAATTTTACCTATCACCTGTCACATACCTTGGTCATGTTGTCACCGAGAAGGGATATCAACTGACTCCACAAAGCTTGAGGCCCTCACTTCCTGGCCCAGATCCCGAAATGTGGCTGAACTGTGATCATTTCCAGGGTTCTGCTCATACTATGGGAGGTTTGTCAAGGGGTTTGCAAAGATAGCATGTCCCCTCAATGATCTGTTGAATAATGAGGAGGTGGAGGATGTGTCTGGCAGTTCATGCCAGCTCCAGTCCCAGGAATCAATTCAGGCAGAGTGGACAGAACAGTGTGAGCAGGCCTTCAATCAACTGAAAAGGAGCCTCACAAATGCTCCTGTCTTGGCCATTGCAGACCCAAACTGGCCATACGAACTCCATGTTAATGCTAGCCAGGATGGTCTTGGGGGAGTACTGTATCAGGAACATAATGGACACCTGAGACTTGTTGCATACACCAGCAGGGCCTCACTCCAGCTGAGAAGAACTATCCCACCCACAAACTGAAGTTCCTGGCCCTTAAATGGGTGGTGGTAGATAAACTAAAAGATTACCTGTAGGGGGCAGAATGCAAGGTTAAGATGGATAACTACCCACCCACATACCTGCTCATGATGGCCAAACTTGATACCATGGGACATCGATGGCTAGATGTCCATTCTGGGTTCAGGCTCAACTGAGGTACCAGTTGAGTGTGGGGAACAGAGATGCAGATGCCTTGTCAAGGAGACCTCATAATCCCAATGAACATGTTGGAGAGTGGACCCTATTAACCCCTGATGATATTCAAGCCTTGTATCAAGGGGTCAA